GGCACCAGCCTGATGCACCCAGCGTCGCCCAGGGCACCGGGTCGTGCGGGAAAGGCTATTTTGGAGCTGACACCAGCCCCCCCCGTGGTAGATTTGGGCTTCGGTTCCGAGCTCCAGAAGTGAGGAAGGATCCCTTGCCTTTCCCTGCACACCTGCCGAGTGTGTTTCCTCCTTGGTGCCTTTAGAAGGCAGGTTTGGGTCTCCCACCCCTCCTGCTCCCTGCAGGGATCCCTGCTGCTCAGCTCCCCGACCTCCAGCAGCACCTGATCCCCAGCAGTGGGTGCTGAGCACCCTGCCCTGCCCCAGCAGCACTCCCCGGGCACAGCACCATTAACCGTGGCAGCGTGAGACCCTTCATGTGAACCACAGGGGAATTCTGGTGTTGGATGAGGGGGAGAGGACCCCCACTCAGGGCAGTGGGCAGTTTGGGAGGGAGGTGATAGCTCTGCTGCTGATACCCGGTGGAGGTGAGCTGGCAGCCCTGCAGAGGTGAGGCCCTGTCTCGTGAGGGAGCAGGGGATTTTGTCATATAAGCAGAGCTTGGGCTGAACATCCCACTGTCCTGGGGACACTCACACCCTTGGGCATCCCACCAAGACCACAGCAGGGGCTCGATGCAGCCCCTGCCTGGCAGAGGCCAGCCCGAAGGCAGCCCAGGCAGGGAAGCACCATGGGGAGGCATGCAGTGCTGCTCCAAAACCCTTGCACAAAAACAAGCAGTGGTTGAGAAAGGGTGGCTGTGTGGGATCTCAGATGCAGCAGTGAAACCTGCTGCTGAGAGCAGGAGGCATCAAGGCTTGGGCTGACACTGAGACAGAGATGATAAGATACCAAGACAAACGGCCTTTTTTTCAGTTAAAAGGAGCTTTTGGCTCAGTCTGAGGTGAACACAGAAACTTTAGCAGGAGAAGAAAAGCCCATAGAAGAGCAGTGCTGGGGGAGGCAGGCTGGAAAGCCCAGGTGGAAGACCAAGAGAAGGAAGTCTGTGTAATGAAGCAGAGCATCCTGAG